TAATCCGCTATCTGCCCCCAGCCCATCCCCCGTGCTCCGCTATCTGCCCCCAGCCCATCCCCCATAATCCGCTATCTGCCCCAGGGGCTCCCTCCTGTCTCCCGGTCCCTGATTGGCTGCGCCGGGGCGGGGGGAGCTGCCGCATCACCGTGTATCGGGGCTCAGCCCGGGGTGTCCCGCCCCCAGATGCCACGTGGCAGCGCTGCCGCCCGCGGGCTCGCGGGAGGGGGCAATGCCGGGTGCCGGGAGGGGGTGTCTCACCCGAAAGCTCCTCTCCCCACCACCCGGATCCGCTCGTACTTCTCCATCGCCCCCCAGCCCCGGCCCGGCTCCCCCCATCTCCATGGAGACGCTTCCGGGCTCCACTACGGCGGCCGCGGAGGAACATTCCGCCGCCTTCCCCGCACTGGGGACCCCTCGCTGCGGATCTCGCCCAGGATCGCTGCAGGGGGCGGGAGGCAGCACAGCAGTGGCCGCTCACAACAGCGGGGTGCGGAGCCCCGGGCGCTTGGGGGCCTCACGAGGGTGCTAGAGATATCCAGGGAGGGTGCCCCACAGCTCCCAGCACCCGTAGAAGGTGCCCCACGGCTCCCAGGGAGGGCCCCCCATGGCCCCAGTGCCAGAGCTGGGGGAAGATGGGCTCAGGCAGCGAGGCCCCCGGCTGAGGTGCTGCCAAACCCAACAGTTCAAAAGTCACAAGTCAGGCCCCAAAACTCATGAGATTGGCTTTAAAATCTCAGAACAGCTAACACTCTGCAGTGCTGGGATCCTGCCCTTTACCAGCTTGTTTCCGGGCACTCCAGTCCTGGCCAGTGGGCGTTGCCAGCTCTGGGGATGGGCCGGCAAGTCTTGCAGGTTTTGGGGTGTTGTTAGAGCCCCAGCCCCTGGAGTCAGGGGATTAGAATCCCATAGGGGTTTGTTGTTTTTTTCCAGTAAGTTTCGAGCTGTCCTGGTTGCAGAGGAGTGTGAGCATGTGCCCTGAACCTGACACAAGGTGAACAGAGAGAGACCCACACACTCTCCTGAGTTTTAATGAGTTTGATGCATCCGAAGAAGTGAGGTTTTTACTCACGAAAGCTTATGCCCAAATAAATCTGTTAGTCTTTAAGGTGCCACAAGTCCTCCTGTTCTTCTTTTTCTAAAAACAACAAGGAGTCTGGTGGCACTTT